AACATTGCTCTGGCTCATACACAGGATCCACACACTCGGTCTGAGGGCATGCTGACACAGTGCACATAACTTCACCATTGGAGTCACAGCGACATTTCTCACATGGAGAAACCTGAAACAGAAATCAGTGATTAGGTTTGATTGTAACAGTTAGATCACAGATAGACCTTAAAGGCAAAATCCAAATTAATGTTGACTGGAACCAGTACACAGAGCAGAAGATTTCTCAAACTTCACTAGAAAACATACTTTCAGGAGGATCTTGGCAGTGGCTTGCTCTCAATACAAATCTTTTTTGATTTAATTAGTATGTTATTTTTTTTATGGAAAGGTAGCATTCATTATTGTTTAACATAACATTTTTCATAGTAAGGTAACATTAAGCTGATTTTTCCATATAGTCAAAACTTTTTTTATTTGGCTCACCTCATGTTAGCATACTATTTGTCAACTCCACCCCTTGATCCCACAGGACCATCTCCTAACTAACTAAAAAAAGAGAGCAAAACCCTTAATAAGTTTTATTTTTAGTCCTCATTACAGGCCACCTCTCCACTTGACTGTATTCCAACATGTGCTGGCGGGGTGGGCACACTGTTGGAATACAGTCAATGGCTGTGTCAGAGACTAGGAGACGCAGTTTTGGGCGACGTGTGCGCCGGCGCGAGGGACCACAGCTGGCATGTTAGGTAGTTCTCCAAGCCACGGTGAGCATCCCGATATCCATAGTAACTGATGGTCAGAGCCTGTTTTCAAAGGCTGTCACTGACATTTGTCGCTTTCTGATGTATGGCATTTTTCTTCTACTGATTGCTCTGATGTTCTTAAATTCTATTGGGGGGTCAGGGAACATGGGAGGAGTATATTGTTTTATGGAGTATATACTCCTCCCATGAGTATATACTCATGAAGTTCTACTTCTGAGTGCCTCCACCAATTTGGACAGTGTGCAAAGATGAGTGATACCAGGGCTGAAAACACACAAAAAATGTCATGTGGTAGCACCTGACACTCATGTAGCTATTATCAGTTGCCCTCTGCTTTGTATAGGTACACTTTTGGGAAAGTAACAGCTTTGCAAAAGCCATTTGCTAAGCTAATTTACCACTTGAGTATACCAATGCCTAAACCTGATGACTCCCAATGTTTTTTTTTTTACATTTGAGCTTTCTTTAAATAGTTTATAATGTATGTAGTATATGTTAAACACAAAGCAAATAACATTTCTAATAAGTATTGAATGTAAAATGAAAACTCTTAAATAGAACAATCAGCATATTGTGTCATATTGTGTAGATAGCAGTAAAAGGGCAGAAGCAGCTGTGTCCACTGCCAGACATACCTGCCCTCATTTTTTTCTTTACAATATACAGTATGTCCAAAGATGAGAGGTCTGTTAGATTAGAGTTAGGGATCACACTACACAGACCAGCTTTGATGAGGCAGTGTGGCTTCCAAATATAATTTACAAATGTATTCAACTAAAACCTTTGTTTTAACATAAATTGTTAAAACAGTCTAGGATTTGGGTTTTTTTTGCTGACTAGCTGGTAAGTGTGTTGGAAATGTATTATATTGCATCTCTGTCTATACCAAAGATTATATCTATTAATAAAATTGAAGGTCACTTTAATTAACAGGCTTCTTTTTATGCCTTGGGAATATATATAATCGTTACAAGTTATACCATTGTTCTCATTATCTAATCATATGTATATGATATAGCAACATGAACAATTATCTTATGCATACTAAAAGTACTGAAACATATTTTTTCTTATACACAATACTGTAGATTTTATTTTCAAGAATTTCCTATACAACATGAAAAATATTTTGTGGCACAGTGAAATCACAGTTGACATTTTATGTAGGTCACTAGATAAAGCTGATTCATTCTGAAGGGCTTGAGGTCAGCTAGAGGTTTAAGTCACTCAGTTTTTTCTATGTTTGTGTGAATTTTCTGTTATTGAGATGGAACACAATCAGGTGGAATAAATATCAATCCACTATTTGAGGTATGCAAGTAGCTGCAAAGTTAACCAGTTGACATCTGCGGTGTTAAACCCCCTTCCCATCCAGGCCATTTTTCAGTATTCAGCGCTGCGGTACTTTGACTGACATTTATTCCGTCATGCAGCGCTGTACTGAAATGAATTTCACTAGGGGGCGCGCGCGAGCAGAAAAAAAATGCCGTCTGGAGACGGCAACCCGCCAATGCTGCAGTGCCGTCCGTCTGTTTTTTTACAACGGGCGGACGGCAAGTGGTTAGAGTCTGTTTTTAAAAGCTCTCTGAATAGCTTTTAAAGTACAGCTAACGTCTCCCATTAAAAGAGAACTATGCACAAACCTTTTTTGGTGGTAGTTCTCTTTAGGGTCACAGGAGAACATTTACTAATTTCCTCCTGTGACCCAAAACTCAGAATATAGAGGGCTATTGCCCACTACATGCTGACACCACAGAGCTGGACTGCAGCTGGGACGGATCCAGACAATATTTTGGTATCCACCACCCTACCTGATTGACAGCTGGCTCTGCCTCTCTAGAGGTTTCCTCTTAGTCCCCAGACAAAGTTAAACCAAACAGTGAAGTATAACTAATGGAACTTCCTGTGATGGTGTGGCAATGATGCTGCAGTGCTCCTGAATTCAGAGAAGAGTTGTCACTCAACTGTGTACTATGCCTGTTTGCACTACAGTGTTATCAGTATTGCCACTGCATTTAAGCATTATTAAAAGAGCTGCTCTCTGCCAAACTGTATTTTTTTTGCACAAGTCCCCCTCCTTTACCCAGGAAAATTGCAGCTCACTATGCCCTTTCTTTGTCAATACCTTACCTATTAGCTTTAAAAAGGGTCACAATTTATTTTAAAGATTCTGCTCCCATTGACTTCAGTCAGATTAACATTCAGAGGAGTTCAGCAAACCTCCCTCGAACCCAACCCTGGTTCGTTCAGCTCATCACTACTTATCAGCCTGTTGTTACACCCCTAGTGTCACCCTTTTTTGCATACTGCACTTGATTAGCTGGGGAATGACAGCTAAGGGACCGGAAGTGTTACCTTATGAGGTTCATGGCAAATCTCCATGAACATATGTATATAGTTTTTATAATTAAATGTATTACACGTTGGGTGACAGAAGTTTTTGATTAAACATATTCTTTGTTGTATGTTGTATGTTGTATGTCATCATTGTCCCAGGTAAATCTTGAATGGGGTTATTGATCTGCTCAGGATTATCCTGTTAATTACATAGGGTATGGCAAGAAACCATAGGATATATAGACATTTCGGAGCTTTGACCATTTATTTTCAGAATACACACTTTCTTTTGTTTTTTGCTAAGAGCTTTAAATGTAATCTTGTAGTTAGATAAACAATTAGATTGTCCACCCAATCGTGACCTGGGGTTACCCTACGGACACCTGCACATTTTTAATTTTACTTCCGAATGCCTGGATGCAGTATTGTCATTAAAGATTTGCATAGAAAGATGTTGGAAGTTCTAACAAAGAGTATTTGGAAATATCCATTCCATTATATCATTATATATTCCAAATATCCATTGCAAACCTTTAAAACTTTGAATCAAAAATGTAAAATTGACCAGAGTCTATAATAGTTTCTTTTTTAATAATAGCAATGTGGTAAAAAGGCTCTAAAGCATTGTTTCTTTACTTTAGGTGGCATTTTTCTGTAAGGATAGGTAATAATATACTGAAACGTTCATAGTTACATAGTTACATAGTTAGTTAGGTTGAAAAGAGACACAAGTCCATCGAGTTCAACCTATAAAGATATGGAGGAGAAAAAAAAAAGAAGGAAAGCCTAAACAGAACACTATACCCACAATTGCCCACTGTTGATCCAGAGGAAGGCAAAAAAAAATCCTTTTAAAGCATGGTTCAATTTGCTCCAACAGGGGAAAAAATTACTTCCTGATCCCATAAGGCAATCGGATATTCCCTGGATCAACAATCTCTGATGCCCAAATATACCTATAATAACTCAATAAAACAATTCATCCCCTCACAGCTACCTCCTCATGTATCACTTCTCCCTCAATTTTAGATTGAAAGCCGTCACAGGCAGGGCCCTCCTTACCATCTTGTCTTGAATTGTATTGTGATTGTATTGTCTTCCTTATATTGTAAAGCACTGCGCAAACTGTTGGCACTATATAAATCCTGTATTATAATAATAATAATATCCAGTAATATTCTGTGCATTTAGTAATACATCCAGATGTTTTTTTAAACAATTACCTGAGATAGCTAGAACTAGCTCCTGGTGGAATCTATTCCACACTTTTACAGCTCTAACTGTGAAAAATGCTTTCCGTATGCAAAGTTTAAACCTCTTTTCCTCCAGATGCAAAGTGTGCCCCCTTGTTCTTTGCAGTGACCTTAAAGTGATTAATTTGGCACCAAGCTCACTGTATGGACCATTTATGGATTTATACATGGTGATCATGTCCCCCCTTTATCGCCCCCTCTCCAGAGAGAACAAATTCAGGTCAGTTAATCTTTCCTAATAGCTGAGCTGAGTTTAGTCACTCTTCACTGCACTTTCTCCAGTTCCATAACATCCTTTTTGTGAGCTGGTGCCCAAAACTGAACTGCCTATTCCAGATGAGGTCTTACTAATGCTTTGTACAGGGGCAGGATTATGTCTCTATCTCTGGAGTCTAGACCACTTTTAATACAAGAAAGTATTTTGCTTGCTTTAGAAACTGCGGCTTGGCATTGCATTCTATTATTCAGTCTATGGTCTACCAGAACACCCAGCTCTTTCTTCATCATTGACTCCCCCAAACATACTCCCCTTAGTGTGTATCAAGCATGCATGTTGTTTGTCCCCAAGTGCATAACTTTACATTTCCCAACATTAAACCTCATTGCCAAATAGATGCCCAATCACACTGTGCATTCAGATCTGCTTGTAAGTTGGAGACATCCTGTAAGGACTGTATTTCACTACATAACTTGGTGTTATCAGCAAACACAGAAACACACAAACAGTTCAGTTTTGAAACTTTCAGTTTCAGGTTCATTCTCTCTGCTTTTTTTGCAGAAAGTTTGGAGTTTAAATGATACACTTTATTGGTTAA